TTCTTTTACAATAACATATACTGTAATGTCGTGCTACAGAATCAAGCAAATTCATGGCAAGCTAGAAATACACACCCTGTTGTGAGGTGTGGTGCTTTTGGATCTTATGATGCTATTATTTTTGGTGTGGTGCTTCTGAATTATTTCATGCTGTTATTTTTGGTGACATGTTGAAACAATAATGTTTCAGAGAGATTTATTGCAAAGATGGCTTCAGAAATTAGCTGACACATTATAAGCATCTTGTTCTTAGTCAGCTGTGTTTGAAAATCTACACAGTCCTATACGGTTAAACCATTTCAAACAGATGTTTAAAAAAGTACGCAAATATAGCACATTATGGCAGTCGAATAGATTTTGAATGACAAACATTCAAGAAATTTAAGTCAATGGAAGACTTTTTTTAAATTAAGCTTTAAATTTAAATTATAAAGCTAATGAACCAAATACAATATATTTTGCACCTCTAAAAGAAAAGATCTCCGAAAATGAAAATGATTTGACCCTTTATTCCCTCCAAACCTGTATGTTTCATCTGTGAAACATAAAGGAAGATATTTTGAGAAATGTGTTTTTCATGTCCATGTAATGGAGGTCGATGGTAACCAAAACTGTTTATTTACTGTACCAATATTCATTTTTGGGTGAACTATCCATTTACGTTTGAAAAATGGCTAAATAAATTACAGAAAATTGTAGAGAAGTAGTAAAAGAAAAAAAGAGGAAGATGATTATAAACAAAAATGAAAAAGCAACAGTAAGCAAAAAAGATGATGATAAACCAAAAGGCAAACAAAAGTAGTAGAAGATCAAGAAGACAAAGCAGAAATAGAGAAATCCTGAAGTAGAAAATAAACTACTTATGACGAGGAAGATGACGACAAAGAAGAAGCAGCAGAAAACAATGTTGAAGATGAAGAAGGCAAAGAAGAATAGAATGTTCGAGGAATTTCTAGCAAGCACTGTAATGACTCATCATTCCAATGGCTGTTTGTTTTATTTCTCTGTCGAGTGGGGTTGGAGGGGGGGTCTGGTTTTTATTTCAGCCCTCACAATAAGTCTTATAAAAAGTGTTGAACCTCTCCTCCCTCCATTTTGTTGCCATCAAAGGCTCTTTCCACAAAACACACCTGCTGGCAGCATGTAAAACAGTTTTTAGAGGCATGTGTGTATGCGTGGCTGGAATGTGCAGACAACTCTTGTGTAAACCCTAGACTGTATTGTGATGCACTGCTCTTTTAAACTATTCAATTATGGCCAGACAGATTACCTCCCACAATACGACATGCAAAAAAGCGCTTGAAACATCCACCTACGCAACCAACCATTCAACACAACGACATTACTGAAATATACAGCATGCTGACCGTACATGCACGTAGTCTGATTAAGTCAAAAGAGACGTGGTGTATGTGGGGTGTGAAGGGTTAAATCCTGATGTGGGCACAGGATGCTGTGGGTACACAGAGTGAGGTCAATATTTGACCTTGCTATTGTCCTTGAGTTCAGCAGTTGTCCGGAGGAGCCAGACAAACACACATACAGCACAGCGAAATATTTGGGCTAGATTAGGGACGCAATGTCCATTGGCCAACAGAAAGAGATCCCTACAGCAAACCAAAGAGGGTTCTGGGTGACGCACTGCCCCCTAGTGTTTCATGTTTTGTGGGGAATTTTCATAGACATGATTTTTAGACTGTATCTATCCCCTAACTCTAAACCTACTTTAATAAAAACATCCCTTAATGGGATATAAAAGCGGTTTTCCTCATTGGGACCAAAAAATTCCCCCACAAAGACAAGGATTTTAAATATGGCCATCTTTGCAGGGACATTTTGTCCCCATAGAATAGGGTATACCACACACACCCACACACACACGCTGTCACTTGTGTGCCCTAGACCTCACTTCCTATCTGTGTTTAACTGTGATAGCCAGATCATAAGCTTCACAGGAAATGTTGTGTTGTCTTTCTGGACAAACAATGGGTATTGGAGATTTATGGGTAGTGACTGCTGACTGTAACACTTTAAGTCATGAGGTACAACCCCAAAACGTCACTTACCATACTTTAGCATAATTCCTAGACTATCCATTCACATTACAAACATAAGTAATTGTGTTCTAGATAAGTAAAGCTGATAATTTACTCCCAAAAAGGTTTGAGTGTTCTTAAATTATTAATAATTAAATTAATAATTAAAAATAAATCATAAATCATTGGTCTTTAACGTATATTTTGACTATATTCCTTTGAAAAAAACAATATATGTTTTGGTTTTCTGTGATGAATTCTAGATTTTTATACAAATTATGTTCATTTGTCAGAAAGGTATTTGATCTTGTTATCAAGCTGGCAGACATAGATGAGGTTTTGTCGACATTTAATGAAACATACAAAGATTACTTTTTACAAAGAGAACAATTATTAGCAAAAAATAAGAGTTGATTATTTTTATGGCTGGGCAAGTAAAAATCGAAAGGCCTTACTGCAGATTATTTATTTTGTTAACTGATGTTTCAATGCTTTTATTGAAGTAGTGACGGCTATTTTCTTCTGTACTTCTGTATCAGTTTCACATACCGGTACATCTGAGTGAAACTGATTATTGAAAAAGATGATTGGTGAAGTCCTGCAAATGTCAACAGAAAGATTGTTGTTTTACCTGAAGATCGAAAATTTTGATTAAGCTCACATTAAAAAAAAAAAAAAAAAAAAAACATATGCAGGGATGAATCATTCACAATATGATCAATAAGATGCATTTACAAAATAGATTGGGAGAATTTTCATTTCATGTTGACTTGACTTGAACCGAACCCACTGAAATGTTATTATGCCCTGAAAAGGCTAAATGCAGTAACTGCACAAGATGTCAAATTGGGTTTTGTTAAGCTGATAGCAGCGGTAACAACGTCACAAAGTTAAAGGGGAACTTGGCAACTCTAACTATATTTCTTCACTGATTTTCACTTTTGTTTGTGGCATGTTGATTCGACGATCTCCCCCTACAGCTGTGGGGCGTATATTTCACAACACTGTCTTAAAAAAACTCACTTGCGGCAATAATAACAATAAATAACAATGATTTGTGATTATCAGAGCCAGCCAACGTTATCATGTGGAGGTATGTCTACCGAGGTGGGTAATACATCATACACATTGAGGGGGACGAGTGTATTAATGTCAAATTGGCGTAAAGTAGTTTGTGTTTCTCGCTCGTTCTCGTTTACGTTAGTCTCGGGATGCTGCCGGGATGTTAGTCCCACTGTTGCAAGGTTGGTTTTCTGCCTGGGAACGGTGGGGGGAACTGTCATGGTTCTCACCAGAACAGGTTTTTTAACCATCCAAATGATTTCTAAACTGTTATTAAGTTGAAATAGTTGCCAAGTGCCCCTTTAAATTTGTCCACTTTCTTTAGTTTTCTTTGGTCAAGCCCTGCAAACACCAGCTCTTTTTGAGTTTGCTTTACACACAGAGAGAGATTTGTATTGTATCTCCAGGAAGAGCCAACAGTCAAACTAAGCGAACAACAAAGGGTGGAGCTTCCTTCCCCTGGACCCTCACCTAATGTAAGTAATGTATCAGTTAGAGTATAAGTGTCTGCGAATGTACGAATGTACACGTGCTTGTAAGAGAGAATCGTGAAGATTATAGATAGTTCCATCTAGGTTAAATAGCTTGACATACTAGAACCAATGGAGCAAAGTAGTCTGTCAGAACATTTACTGAATTCACAACCTAAGATGATAAAATGATGAAGAGAGTAATAAAAATAAATCTTCCGTACCTCACACTTGCAGTTCTTTATGAGCTCCAAGGCCGAGAGAATATGTGGGAGAAAGCATGTTATGTCTACAATTGTACAAAGGGAACTTTTCGATTCTTGTCAGGTGAACAAGAATTCGAAATGGCACCACTGCTGTGGCGATTGCTGATATTTATAAGTGTGCAATGATGCTTTAAAAAGAGGCTTTGATCAGATATCCTGATAGCTTTTCACTTCACGAGCCTAACAACTGAAAGACAGCAGAATAAAAAGATGAGTCTTCATTCAGCAGTCCTTCCTTCCCTCATTACCCTAAGAGCATGAGCCCAGGCAGCTTATGTGAAGCTCTATTGTATAGCAAGCTATTGGGACACTCGTCCTTTTTTTGCTCTGTCTTGATAAGGAACAGAAAAATACAGCTTAATCATAAAGAAAAACCAGTGAAGGTAATTATGCTGATACAAAATCATTGTTCGTTGCACATTTTTAATTTAAATGTGTTAATAATACATGATGACTAAATTGTTTTTCAGATTTCAGTTTTTTTGGAAAGTCCTAATGCAGTGTGTCAGTCCAAATGACTGCATGTATATCAAATAAACTTAGATTTACATAGATTTACATAACATATAATTATAACATAATTTTAAATGATCCATATTTCCCATGGTTAATAGGCTGGGCATTTTTGCACTCTAACTTTGTCCTTGTGTCAGTCTGGGATAACTAACATGGGCTAGACAATGGGACTGCAGCAGTGATGATGAAGTTTTGATTTCTGAAAAATGACATATCCCTTAAAATTACCATGGTAACTATACCACAATGCGAAATTGTACAAAATATAAATGTGGTAACTTACAGCCGTCGACTTTCATAAAAACAAAAAAACGAATTAATTAATTAAAAACAAGAAGGCATTTCTGTTTTAAGTAGCCTACATCCTAATTTATTATGCCTTTATATTAGTATAAGTAACTGTAGAATACACTAACTATGGTTGCCGTGGTAATGCTTGTTACATTTTTCATAAAATGTCATTTAGTTCAAGAATATTTTGTCGTTTTTGTAGTAGTTTATTCACTTATGTTACGCAGAGAGCTAAACTTTCACTAACAAACTTTTTTAAAACACGAAAACTCTTACAAATGTTATCACAAGCATATTTCCTTATTTGTTTTTATAACGTTCATAAAGAAAATCAACCAAATAGATGCAAATATTCTTACCTTCAGCAAAGCGGTTAACAGTCACTCCCCTCATGTCTTTACCGTCTTTATCCGTCTTCATGACGTCTTTCAGTATGGTATAGCCTACCTTAAAATGACTGAAATCACATCAAGGGGAATGTTTTCTGAGAGTTAGTTAACCTTTATATCCAAACTATCTAGTCAAGTTGTGCTCTTTTCTCCAGAGTGTGAAACACTGGCAGGCATTTTCGCGGCGCGCGCGAGTGGTACCGCAGGTGTACATGACAGCACGAGCGCAAGGAGTGCAGCACGCGAACAAAAGCTAGTGAATCTGGACCAATCACGCTCCAGCAAAACAGAGCGACTGGACGACACAAGGATGGCCCATCAATGGTCATTACGTAGTGAATGTAAGTGGGCGAACAGATTTTGTCCTGTTTATGAACATCTTAAACGTGACATTAAGTGAATAAAGCACGAATGACTAAAATAGACTACAATTTAAAACTTATGGGGAAAGGTTTCCCCACTAGAGAGCGCGCAGAGAACGCGACACACGTGCACTCTTGGCAGTTTGAAAGACTCTGCATTAGTTTTTATTTTATATATATATATATATATATATATATATATAGACCATTTTACAAGATGTAAACAACACTGGTCCAGAAACACTTCCTGTTTCAGTTTGTAACTGTTTTCTTTATTTCACATGTAAAGAAAACATCTTAAAGATGTTTGTTTAACTTTTTGATTCAGTTTTATATGTTCTGTAGGTTGTATTTTATCCCAGCTTTTATGTAGTGTTAAAAAAACTGAAACAGGAAGTGCTTCTGGACCAGCATTGTTTACATCTTGCAAAATATATGATATTTTTCTTTTTTTCCTATATAATTAATAATAATTATTCAGAAAACTGACATTTAGCTACTGTGTGGATTTGCTTCAACTTTAGAGGAGAACACTGTAGACTCGACTGATCCTTGCTCAACTGCTGTACTGGACATTTGTCTCCCTTCTGCTTCACCCTGTTTAGTTCGTGGAGCATCTACTAAGTGGAGCATCTACTAATGAGCTGATGAGTTGAATCAGGTGCAGTAGATAAGGTTACAAAAAGAAGGAGAAGGTGAAGGATTGAGAACCAAATCCAGTGTTTTCTCTACATGTACTTTTTAAAAATGCTCTTTTTTGGCATCTTTGGTTTAATGAAGAACCTTTAACATGAATTTAACCTTTCAAGTGCTCAAAAAAAAAATATTAAACTGTTCTTCACAGTAAGAAAAAAAATGACTCTTTTAAGAATTGTTCACTGAAAGGTTCTTTGCTGAGCAAACAATGATTCCTCTATATGGCATCACTGTGAAAACCCTGTTTGTGTAACCTTTCTTTTAAAGAGTGTAAGATATAGATAAAAGACAGAACACACTATGCCTCATTAATGTGTGTTACTGTTCAAGGCTACTTTTTGGACTTTTATGTTATCACATTTTGAGCAGGAGAAAGACCATGTCTCCATCACTTCATGTCTTCGTGTTATCTACAAGGCTGTATAGAAAAGTCCTTCATTTTAACATGATGCAAACCAGAAACAGGAAAACTTAAGCAAAAACAAGTTTTATTCCAAAACCTGGAGGGGAGAACTTCATGAATAAACACACAACTGTAGTCATTGCTATTTTGGCACAATGCCGATGGGTAATTGGTCAGGGGTAATTCAGCCTGCTAGAGGGGGGTATGTAAGAGGACTCTTGAGGGCCCCCGGCAGACTGTCTGACATGGAGCCCGAGCCAATGAGGATGTTTTTGGAGGAAGGATCTCTATGTATGGAAATAAAAACTGCTTTGTTTTCCCGCACATAGCGACAGTATCCACTATGGTCAGCTTCCATTTCCATATTTACAGAAGGAAAGTAATTTGGAGTTCGAGGTTAATGAGTCCAAGCCTGGCACTGAAGGAGAATTGTTGTGATGAATTATTGTTATTAATATGTGTGTGTGTGTCACTTTATTTCTTCCTCCTGAGTAGACTCAACTTTCCCACAAAGACTTTAATGCCCTTAACAAGGTCAGGATAGACATTGTTTACGCATATTTGTTAGCTAATAAATTTATCCGTTACCAACCACAACCTTCTTCACCCTTCGTGTCAACATTGAATGCCCTTCTTTCTACCCCCCTCCTGTATCTTTGAGCTCATTGGTTGTCATGATAAGTCCAAGTGTATTTTTAGCGTGCTATCCTTTCATAGGGGTGGACACAGGGAAAAAATAGATATATCCGGCCCCTTGCAATAGAAAACAAAAAACTGGGATAAATCTGCCACTACCAACACTTCTGAAAGTGACAGAAGGTATGAGTTTCACAACTGCAAAAGGTAAGATAATTGCATTTCAAATGTATTTTGCAGCTTTTAAAAACTAAGGGATCATTTGAAGTATGTACTATGTTTTCTTTTCCTCTCAATTGCATGGATGAAGCTCAAACTGAACCAATCACGACAAAAAACAGCAACCGAGGCCGCCAACCAGAAGAAACTGCCACAGACTCAGACAATGACACGCAGAAACAAAACTTTGATTTGAAAGTTGAAAATGGTATGGTGAAATGCAAACTTCAAAATGTATCTGGGAGCCATGAGGACAGCATCAAAGTCTGTTTGACTAATAAGAGCCACCGAGGAGGTTCACAGTCAGTGGAGCAAAATGACCCAAAGCCCTTAACCATTGTACCGGTACAAGAAAATGTGGTTTCACATAAGGTGCTATTAGAGAACTATGAAGGGAAGTTATGTGAGGAACAAAGGCCGAGCACAAAGCGCCAACTGTCCGCCGAGAGCGCGGCGAAGTCAGTGAGTGTAAGAAAGAGGAGCACTGTGAAAAAGAGCCTAGAGGAGATTGTGAAACCCCTCTTAGTCGCCAGCCCTGGCACGCAATCTGGGAGACCTTATCTACCTGCAGTCTCCTCCTCCCAGAGGAAACCCAGAAAATTGCTGTTCTCCAGCACGGAGATTTTCAGCAAAGTAGACGCATTCTCAATCAAGAAAGGAAAAGAGGTAACAGACAACACACAAGCCTTTGTCCTCTTTGTTCTCATAAACAATAGATTTAGGCATGAATATGTGTTTTTCAGTTGAGGGAGCTGGAAGTATTTGATGCTCAGAAGATTGCGTGTGCAGTCACTGAGGGGAGCAGAAATGATCTGGAAAAACTCAGGGCCGCATGGATCTGGATATGCCATAATATTGGTAACTGCACATGCAAAAAATGCATCATGCACCGTAAAAAACTAAGTATTGGAGTGTTTTAGAAGAAAAAAATATTTCAGTTTTTCTACTTCAAAGTTTTACTTTCAATTCAGTGTCGCTAGCAATTTCTGAGTGAAAAATGGTTTCTGCTTATCTTTTTTTGTTTGTTTCACTTTTAATTCTTTATGAATGAACTTCCTCGTGCAAATTGTCTAATACATTTGTCTGTGTAGAATATGATTTAGAGGGATACCTTGGTATTTCTCAGAAGATTTGTTCATCAGATGAGGTCATCAGGAAGCGAAAGGGTGTGTGTAGTGGATACTCCAGTCTCTGTGTGGAAATGTGCAGGTAAATGGGCACAGGTACCGTATGTACACATACATCATTCCACACTCTAAAAAATGATGTGTTGGATTTACTTAAAATATATATGCACCATTTTTGCATCATACTTTTTAAGTAATCCCGACTTGGATTAATTTTACTTAAAATTAACAAGAAAACCTTTGTTATATGTAGCTACTTAAATATTTGAGTTCATGCAACATTCTTTACTTAAAAATATAAGTAAATTCAGTTTAAAATTTTTTTGACCAAGAATACAATAAACGATCGAGTGTACCTTAAGTAAAAAAAAAAAAAAAAAAAAAAAAAGTTAAGCTTACATTTTTTTCACAAAAAGGCTCCAATTTTTGGCTGGAAAGGCATCACAGGAAATTTCATATCTATCAAATCTATTGCAAATGTAATGCTCGATTAACTTAATTTTAATCTTAACATGACTTATGTTTTGTCATTTTATTCATGCATACATTTAAGTTCACTTAGTAACTTATATTTTTGTGTTACACACACACTATATATATATATATGTTAAGTAGAGGTTAAAAAGTTATAAATACTTCATTTTTTTTGTTTAATCTAATTACTTTTATAAGTAATGGTTGTTCAGCCAACGAATCGTTTTTTAGAGTGCAGTAGAACGCGGCTCTGAACTTTCTCTCTTTCACTAGGGAGCTGGGCATTGAGTGTGTGGAGGTGAGTGGGTACAGCAAAGGCATTGGATACCAGGCCAGGCACAGTTTAGCTGAGAAGCGTTCTGATCATGAGTGGAATGCTGTCTTCGTGGGGGGTCAGTGGTGGCTGCTTGATGCTTGCTGGGGCGCTGGCACTGTGGATATGAAAAACAAAACATTTGTGAAGAGGTCAGGCTCCTCAGAGTGTCAGTTGTACATATCATACAGTACACTCATACTGACAAATCATAAGTAGTTTTTACATACACCATTGTTTGTGTATATTCCACAGTATTTAAGAGTTGGGTTCCATGGGAGAGAGAAAAAGAAAAACGTCTCCGTAAAATTATATTTAAAAGCTTATTTTTATGATCAAAGTTTTTATTTTCGAATTTCAAATGGTTATTTTTTATTTTAAGTGTTCCTGAAATACTAAAACAATAAACCGTTATTCTTGCATTTACTTTATAGAAATTAGCAAAGATTTCACAGCAAAAAACGTGTATCATGACCATAAGACTGATGTTTTGTACTAAAAGCCTTTTTACTTGCTGAAAAAAGTATAAACTATCAATCTGATGACAGAAGGCATAAAGTAGATTTTTTTTTTGTTTTTTTTTTTAAAAAAAACAAGTTTTTTTGGAAAAACAAAACATTTGTGAAAAACTTTTTTTTTTGATCATGATAATTTAGAGGCCTTATAAATCATTTCGTATAAAATATAATACAGCAGGCTATTAATAAAGTTTTATATTGCACTTTGTATTTGATTATATCAGTATATTCAGCCCCCTCTTAAATTACACTGAGTAGACTTTACATTTTTATATATTTTACTTTTTTTCTGATTTACAAATGCTTTACAAAATCAAACTTTGTAATTCATCAAAAAATGATCTGGTTTGTTTACAGCAAATTTACAGTCTCTAGTCTGAGAAAATAGGATGCAAAATATTGAATAACAACTGCACTAATAAGTATTGATGTCTGTCT